TTTGAATAACTGTATCTTTCTTGTCCAATTTGAGTATCTTGGGTTTGCTTTAATTCCTCAAATGTGAGAACATTATTTGGTTCAGCTATTTTAATTTTTATTTTTAAAAACAACTTCTAAAAACTGGCTTGTTTGCATCTTCTCTTCCCCAGTCACAGCCAGTCAATGCTGAATTTTTATCTTCTCCCTCTACCCTACGTGGAACTATATTCTGAGTGTTCATTGAGAGAGAAAAAAAAACAAAGAACAATCTGGAGGGAGGAGGGTAACTTCTTCAGGTTAGCCTCTCTGCTCCTATGATGCTGCTTGGCCTACTGTGTTCATCCAGCCCTGCACCTTGTTGTCTCGGATTCTCCAGCATCTGCAGTTCCTACTATCTCTCACAAAGAACAATCTGTTGTTCATAATTTTGAACCTCTGCAACACTGTTAAACTGTTGGTTATTATCAACTATTCCCTTTGTCGATACCCTTTGACAACTTGTGTGGCTCAGAATTTTTCTCTCCCATCTCCTTTCAAGGCTCTTTTTTGTGAGTCTGAGACCTTGAACCAAGACTGTGTAAGGTCACTTGTACAGTCATATAAGAACCTCTGGCGATACTTAAAGAAGATTCATGAAGTTTCCTGATGCCCTGGCCAGCTTTAATCCCTCAACCAACATCACCATAATAGTTTAACTGGTTATTTGTCACTTCTGTTTTGAGACTGGACTGTCTCCACGTTGACATCTACGTTTCCCATAAATGTAGCTACTTATCAAAAATAATTCGGGCTGTTAAATATATTGGAATGTGTTGAGATTTTGAATAATAAACCAATGTAATTTTTTTTTCTTTTGTTGGACGGGAGTGTTTTGATATGGTATCCTCAACTTTGGTTTTAAAATTGGCGTAATCTAATTTATTTGCATGTCTTTCTGGAGTTTACTCCCTAGAATGGGACATGGCAAGAATTTCTATATTTCTTGCTGTTCAGTAATAGGGATTCATTTTAATTTGCTGATTTCTTAATAAATTGAATACCAGAGTCTAAGCATTTGACTATCAAGTGGTTAAACTCACCTTGCTCCTTGAAATATTAAGTCACGCATTCCAGACGATTTTTGGGCAATGACGTTGTCTAATTTCAGCTGAGACGTCAACTGAGATGCTAAAATTAACTCTAATGAGGAAAAAAAACTAGCCAAAGTTCCCAATTGTAGTTGTCATCCATTGACCGTCATAACCACTTTGTAACTTGGCTTCGTATAAAGACGGGCCTGTGAAATCAGACTGCAACAATATTCGGTATCTACAGGAAAAGGCAAAAGAGAAATGCCAAAATCTGCCTCTACATTTAAAAGTAAAAGCTTATTTTCACATTTGGGCTGGTATGCAAATTGTACGCGGTACTTGGCTTTGTAAATGGAGCATTGAATATTTAACAAGTCATGCTAAGCCTTTACAAATCCCTGGTAGAATGCGGCTGGAGTGTTATTTATAACGCTGGGTGCCACACTTTTGGAAGCATGTTAAGGCTTTCAGGATGGTGGAAAAGCTGGTTTACTGGGATGTCATTGTGGCTGATTTGATTTGGATGGAAAATTTACAAAAGTTGTGATTGTTGATCTTAGCACAAAGAAACCAAGGGTTTTAATCAAGCAGTTGAGGTGAAACTGTTCCCTCTGAGCAGAAGGTCTCTTGCCAGAGATCAGAGGTTTACGGTAGTTGGCAAAAGAACTAAGAGGAATTGAAGAGTTTTTTTATTTGTGTTAAATTCTGAAATATGGCACCTGAGGGTGGTAGGAGCTGATTTCTACATGATAGATGCTGTATAAATGTACGCTTGAGTCAGTTATTCTCTGCCACCACACTTCTTCAGACAAACCTTTTGTCTCTCTCTAATCAGGTTCTGGCATTGCACAGCAAATCATTTAGTATATGTATATGTGAACCTTTGTCACTACACTGATCCTGTTTTGTTTTATAATACTGTGGGAGGTAAGTTATTTTAAGCAGAAATGTTTATACTGACCTGAATAGGTTCAGAGGACTAATTTTCTTCCTTTCTTGCATACAGTCATAGAGATGTACAGCATGGAAACAAACCCTTTATCTAACTTGTTCATGCTGACCATATATCCTTAATAAATATAGTCCCACTTGTCAGCATTTGGCCCATTTCTCTCTAAACCCTTCCTATTTATATACCCATCCAGATCCCATTTTAAATGTTGTAATTGTACCCACCTCCACCACTTCCTCTGGCAGCTTTCTCCATACACGCACTACCCTCTGCATGCAAAAGTTGCCCCTTAGGTCCCTTTTAAATCTTTTCCCATCTCACCTTAAACCTATGTCCCCACCCTGCAGAAAAGACCTTGTCTATTTACCCTATCCATGCCCCTCATGATTTTATAAACATCTATACGGTCACCTCTCAGCCCCTGATACTCCAGAGAAAATAGCCCTGGCCTATTCGGTCTCTCCCTATAGCTCAAACCCTCCAACTCTGGCAACATCTTTGTAAATCTTTTCTGAACTCTTTCAAGTTTTACAGCATCCTTCCTATAGCAGGGAGACCAGAATTGCATGCAGTATTCCAATAGTGGCCTAACCAATGTCCTGTACAGCAGCAACATGACCTCCCAACTCCTATACTTGATGCACTGACCAATTAAGGCAAGCATACCAAATGCTGCCTTCACTTAACCTATCTACCTGCAACTCCACTTTCAAGGAGCTATGTACCTGCGCTCCAAGGTCTCTCTGTTCAGGAACACTCCCCAGGACCTTACCATTAGTTTGCCCTTATTTGCCCTTTCCAAAATGCAGCACCTCACGTTTATCTAAATTAAATGCCATCTGCCACTCCTTGGCCCATTGGCCCATCTAAACAAGATCCTATTGCCCTCTGATGTTTTCTCCTGGTATCTGAAGAGCTGACTGTTAGTGCAATATTCTTTGAGGAGTGTCAGATTTTGTGCCCAGATGGGCACTGTTCACGTGTCTGCCTAGGTACGGATAGGATCGTCATTTTTTTTTTTAAACCGTGGAAAGCAACATGGCCATGGCCATGCCCATGCCCACTTCTGTTCAATCCCAGAAACACCTTTATTTGCCAGCAAAAGTTTGAGCAGTCAGAAATTTGGTAAGCCTTTTATCTGCTTAACCCACCAGTTAGAGGTCTGTGGAATTATGGAAATCCATGGTTTAACACTCCTGTGCAATTGGCTGATAAAGCATTCCCTTGGAGAGTTCGGGAACAGAAATGAAGTGAAGCAATGTACTGAAAAATTGTACAAGTCAGCTATTTTTAATTGAGGAATTGTTTGGATATCACTTGTATAGGTGAGCTTTCCCTATCCTTGCCTGATTTGGTTTGTTGTCTTAAACTGTTGGATATCTTGCTACCCTTTCCAAAGAGTAGATGAAAATGGAAGGAGAAGCTGGTCATCCAATTGCAGCACCCAGTATCTAGTCAGAGTTTCCCATAGATTTATAATGGATAAATTCAGATTGATAGGCTTTCTTTGTGAAGCTTCAACATTGGTGAGTTTGGTTTTAATGAAGCTGGGGGCCTTTATTGTGTTTCACCCCTCTACTTGCTCAATAAAAGACTATTATTAGTCCATGTTATTTTCACACACTGGCTTGACAAAGGTCTAGAAAATGTGTTCTTTCCCACATTTTCAAAGAGCAGAATAATACGTAATGAAAAGGTGTAAAGTGCTCATGGGAAACGAGGGTTTTCCTTTTGTCTCTGAATTTGATTCTTCCTGATCTGAAATGTGTTGACACGTGGTAAGGTACAGACATTACCTTGTGAGGAGGTGATGGCCTAAAGGTATTATCGCTGGTCTGTTTATCCAGAAACCCAGGTGATGTTCTGGGGACCTGGCTTCAAATCCTACCGTGGCAGATGGTGGAATTTGAATCTAATAAAAATCTCTGGAACAAAGAGTCCAATTGTTGATTGTTGGAAAAACCCATCTGGTTCGCTGATGTCCCTTGAGGAATGAAACTGCCATCCTTACCTGCTCTGGCCTTCATGTGACTCCTGACCCACAGCATTGTAGTTGACTCTCAGCTGCCCTCTGGGCAGTTAGAGGTGGGCAATAAATGCTGGCCTAGCCAGAAATGTCCACATCATCCTGTGAATAAGTTTTTAAAAAACTACATTCCCTTTGCCTTCTTCAGACAGCTGATTTTTCATGTTTGTATGATCTCAACTTGATTATTCACTCTGGGAGGTTTCATAACTCGAGCTTGATGCTGGCTGCAAAGATGCACTTGAGGGTTGTTGAATAATGTAAGCAGGATCAGAAACTTGAACTTTTCATTTTCCTTCTTGCCAAATTGCAAAACCTCAACAATTTATTGTTACAGATGAGACAATTTGATTGTATGTCTATTCTACGCCCAATTAATTAAATCAGTCTTAGCCTGGTAGTCAGAGGAGTCCAGTCTGTAGTCAAAAGGATTTGAGACTTATTCAGAAACAGATTTGGTTTTCAAGTCCATTCTACAACTGATGTGTCAATGACCCATTATACGGATCTGTGTGGCTATTATGCTTTCGCTGTACTTTTGCCTGATCAATAGCAAATTGGAATTCAAAGAAAGCTTTCTACATCTCTGTGACTGTAGACAAAAAAAGGAATGAAGGATAGTCTTTTGTTTATTTTACTTGTTCACCATTCCAACTAAAAGTGCATAATTTTTGATTTCCAGGATAGCAAATTCAGTTAATAAGTACAAACTTGTATGCATGGCTGTCCTTATTCAGACAAGGAAGTTTTTTGAAACCTTAAAAGAAGGAAATTCCTTCTAAATTGGTTCTAAATTTATAAAGGAATTCTGAATGCCAGGTTTGTATTGATGGGAGTTTTGAGATTTCTCCACGTTTGCATTTGCTTTTTTTAAAAGTTTGTTTGTGCACTCTTTCTTTACTAAACGTTCCTTTTATTTGTTCTCTTCTTTCCCTATTCCTGTCTCTTTCACTTTCTGTTACTCTATCAGCTACGAGTCTTCAGCTGAGATCATGCCACACACGCCAAGACTCACCCACTTCCCCACTGTCTCGGGCTCCCCTGCTAGTCTGGTCAACTCTATGCAGCAAAAGCCCAACTCCCCCCGCCGCAGGCGGACGAACCCGAGCCCCATGTAGTCATGTGACCAGGCTTGAGGAGCCATCAACGGGTCAGGTACACCGACTTCTTGCTGAGCTTTGCCTGCGTATTATTTCCAGCATGTTGCTGCAAAGCAAGTCTATTTAACTTGTGTGTTTGTTTCCTTTTCTCTTTGTGCGTAGTTTCAGTTTTTAAGAAGTTTCTCATTTGAAGGTTGGCCTGTTAATGCATTAATAAGCAGCTTCAAATGCATGCCCTTAACATGACCCTTAGCAAAGCTTAGCTGCCGGGCTTTTACTCGTGTGATGTGTGTCGCAGTTGCTAATTGTTCAGCATGGCCATCTCTGTGCATCCACTGTGCTGGTTGGCTTTATTTCAATGTTGACTCCAGTACTTTGCAAGCAGATCATGAAAGTGAAAGACCATATATTCACCAACCCACTTCCATAAGCTCTATTGTTTCACAAAAACGAATCACTGGAGAAACTCGACAGGTTTGGCAGAATCTGTGGAGAGAAAGCAGTGTCAATGCTTCAGGTCCAATGACCCTTCTTCAACTAATTGTAGCAAGGAAAAGGCTGGTATGTATGCTGAAGAGGAGGAGGAGAAGGGTGGGGGTGGGGGGTGGTGGGGGGTAGGTGTTGGGGAAGGAGTAAATGATAGGTGTCAATGGAGCCGAGAGAGTGAGAACAACAGTTTGCCAGATAAAGGAATGGCTAGTGGTGAGCCAGGAGAAAGAACAGCCCCAAATGGGAACCATTACTGGGTGAAAATAAGATGGGCTGATTTCACCATAGCCAAATGATGGCAAGGCCTGGTATATGGGCTTGAGGGAAGGATATGGAAGAAGGTGCTCTTGCCCTAAAATTATTGTACTCTATGGAGTCCTGAAGGCTGCAGGGTCCCCAGACAGAAAATGAGATTGTGTTACTCCAGCTTGCACCAAGCTTCACTGGGATCCAATGGTGGGTTGAAGTGGCAGGCAATAGGAAGCTTGGGTCATTTTTGTGGATAGAACATAGGTGTCCCACAAAGCAGTCACCTAGTCTGCGTTTCATCTCCCAGTGTAGATACCACATTGTGTAGTGAATACAGTAGATTAGATTGAGTGGAGTGCAGGTAAATTGCTGCTTCATCTGGAAGGTGTGTCTGGGGCCTTGGATGGTGAGGAGAAAGGAAGTAAATGGGCAGGAGTTGCACCTTCTGCAATTGCATGGGACGGTGCCGTGGGAGTGTTGGGAGTGGAGGAGGAGTGGACCAAGGTGTCCTGGAGGGAACAGTCCCTGTGGAAGACTGACAAAATAAGGGAGTGGAATATATGTCTGGCGGTGGCATCCCGCTGGAGTCAGAAATGGTGGCTAATGATCCTTTGGATGTAAATGTTGGAATTTGAAGACTGGGTATCCTTTCAGTGTTGTGGGAAGGAAGAGAAACTGGGAGGGTAGAAGTGCGAGAAACGGGCCAGACAATGCTGAGGGCCCTGTCAGCCACAGTGGTGAGGATTTATTGGCTGAGGAAAACTCAACTCCCAGTGACTGTCTTCAGCATATATACCAACCTTTTCCTAGCTACAGTCGACTCTGAAAAGGGGTCACTGGACCTGAAACATTAACTCTGCTTTCTCTTCACAGATGCTGCCGAACCTCCTGAGTTTCTCCAGCTATTTGTTTTTGTGTCAGATTTCCAGCATCTGCAGTCCTTTGTCTTTTAAGCTCTGCTGTATATATTGGATGAGAAGATAATACGCAACATGATCAATAGTCTGCGCTCCTTCTTTGGTTCATCTATCTGATGCAACTCATTCAAGACATGTTTAACTTTTTCATTGCCTTAGTCTCTGACATTTCAAGGCCGCAGTCTCTCTAATGGCCATTCTGTGTGCTGAATAATTAGAAATGATAAAACTACATTTGAAAATGGAATTGAGCGTACTATTAATATCAAAATTTGAAATATTCAGATGCATTTAGTTTAATTTTAGAAAGTTTTTAAATCCATCTTTATAAATGCCAGTGTTCAGTTTACATCAAATAACCATGTGCTTGACCAGTGCCAAAAAGTCTCTCTTTCCAGACACATTCTGTTCACCTTCATAGGGTCTGCTCCACAAGTGTTGGATTTGATCTTCAGCAGATGGAAAATGACTTGTTCATCAGAATCCATAACAGTTCTTATAATGATGCACCTGATCAATGGCAATGAACATACACTTACATGTTGATGCTTGAGTAGAGAGGGAGACATTACAACACAGAAGCCATTTCATCAATTGAAGTAGAGCAATATAGTAATCCCAGTTCCCTGCTCTATTCCATAACGCTGCAAATTTTATTTCCCTGAAGTGCCTATTCAATTTGAAATTAAGTTGCTGCTTTGCTGCTAATACACTGTGGTGCGGAAAGTTCTTTTAGTGTCCAAAGAGTATTTCTTGTATGAAAAAGTAAACTGATGACCATTTCAATCCTTTTGTGCCAATGCCAGGAGGTGAATGAGTGAAACATGCTCCACTTTCTTTGTCCCCAGATTCAGGATTATGATTGAGACCCCAGCTGTGTATGGAATTGAACATCGAAGTTGTTCTCAATGAAAATGAAATGCTGGAAATTCTCAGCAGGTTGGGGAGCATGAGATCATCAGAAATAGCATGAGCCAGACCATTCAGTCTGCTCTGCCATTTGACAAGATCATAGCTGATCTGATTGTGACCTTAACTCGACTTTCCTGCCTGTTCCTCGTAACCTGTTTCTCTTGTTAATCAAAATATCCCTAATTCAGACTTGAACATATTCAGCGAGCCAGCCTCCAGTCCCTTCTATGGCATCTGTGATGGGCAAAGCAATTAACATTTCTGGTGAAACTGTTATCTCTTTCTCTGACCATGGATGCTGCCAACCAACTGTGTATTTCCAGTATTTTCTGCTTCTATTTGAATTTCTAGCATCTGTACTTTTTATGAAATTTGTCCTGTGACTTAATTTCAACATACCACCAAGACTGACTAATTCAGCACTAGGAAAGCAGATCTTGCATTTAACTGGACTTTGTGCATTTATTGTCATGAAATGATTTTATGTCAAGTTTGAAAGACTGAAATTTTTGACTTTTCAAATGAATTCAAGGTGAAAAATTAGTGAAGCAGAAGTGTTGCTTTTGAGGGACCCTCTAGTTATAGGTATGTAGGGTTACAGGACTTTCTGTTAACGTGAAGAGAAATGCCAAGGTCAAGTTTGCTCCACCATTTGATCATGGCTGATCTATTCCTCAATCCCATTCACCTGGTTTCTCCCCATAACCTTTGATCCCCTTACTAATGAAGAACCTGTCTATCTCTGTCTTAGATATTATCAATGACTTGGCCTCCACAGCCTTCTGCAGCAGTGAATTTTACAGATTAACCACCCACTGGCTGAAGAAAATCCTCCTAATATCTGTTTTAAAAGGGTCGTCCCTTCATTCTGAGCTAGTCCTCTGATCCTAGTCTCTCCTGCTACTGGAAACATCTTGTCCACATCCACTCTATCCAGGCCTCTGAGTATTCTGTAAGTTACAACCAGGTACCCCACCACCACCACCAATCGCTCTAAACTCCATTGAGTACAGACCCAGAGTCCTCAGCCGCTCCTCATTTCTCAAACTGTTTACTCCTGGGATCTCCTCATCTGAAGACCAGCACCCACGCCCCCATCCCCACCTCCTTGACCTGTCCATCTTCTCTCCCACCTATCCGCTCCACTATCTACCTGCTATCACCCCCCCCCCCCCTCCATTTATTTCAGAGCCCCCATCCTCTCTCCCATTTCTGAAGAAGGGTCCCGACCTGAAACGTCAGCTTTCCTGCTCCTCTGCTGCAAACCTGCTGTGTTCACCCACCTCCACACAGTGTTATCCATTAGTCCGTGTCTGCTATCCTGAAAAAGACCCCTTTATCACCGCTCTGCCTTCTGCCAGTCAGTCAGTCAGTCAGTCCTCTATCCATGCCAGTACTTTGCCATAACACCATGCGCTGTTATCTTACTTCCAGCCTCCTGTGCAGCACCTTGTCGAAGGCCTTCTGTAAATCCAAGTAGATCTTTGTCTAACTTTCTTGTAATGTCCTCAAAGAATTCTAACAGATTTCATAGAATCAGAGAATCCCTACAGTGTGGAAGCAGGCTATTTGGCCCATCGAGTTCACACCAATCCTCTGAAGAGCATCCCACCCAGACCCATCCCCCTGGCCTTTTCCTGTACTTCCCACGGCTAATCCACCTAACCTGCACGTCGTTGGACTGTGGAAGGAAGCTGGAGCACCTGGAGGAAAGCCCCACAAACACAGGCAGAATGTGAAAACTCTACACAAACAGTTACCTGAAGGTGGAATTAAATCTACCTCCCTGGCACTGTGAGGCAGCAGTGCTAACCATTATGCCACTGATGATTCGTCAGGCATGATTTCATCTTGACTAAGCTGTGCTGATTCAGCCCTAATTACTATGCGCTTCCAAGTACTCTGCAGTGTAATCTTTAATAATGAACTCTTAAAACCTTAGCAGCAACTGAGGCCAAGCTAACCTGCCTGTAAGTTTCTGTCTTCTGCCTTTCTCCCTTCTTAAACAGGGGAGTACATTTGCCATTTTCCAGCCCTCTGGGACCCTCCTTGACTTCAGTGACTCCTGAAAAATCACCACCAATACCTCCACAATCTCTTTAGCTATTTCCTTTAGGACCCTGGGAGGTAGTCTATCTGGTCTGGGTGATTTATCCACTTTCAGACCTTTTCAGCTTCTCCTGCACCACCACCTACGTTCACCTCTGTCCCCTGACTCTCTTGAAGTTCTGGTACGCTGCTGGTGTCTTCTATCGTGAAGACTGATGCAAAGTATCTATTCTGTTCCTCTGCCATTTCTTTGTTTTCCATTACTAGCCTCATTTTTACAGCGGTCCAATATTCGCTCTTGCCTCTGTATCGTTTCATGTATCTTAAAAAAAAAAAAAATCTCTTGCAATCTTCTTTTAAATCAGTAGCTAGCCTACCCTCGTATTTCATTCTTTACCGTCTTAATGCTCTTCTGGTTGTCCTCTACTGGTTTTTAAAG